CTGTTTCAGCACCTCGTTGTGCAGGGTGACCGTGTCCAGAGCCCAGCCCTTGTGTGCTCTCGTCACCTCCTGCCTCATGGCCGTCAGGAACCCTGGAAACACACAAGTGCAGTTCGGAGAAAGCAACAGGCCTCCAAACCTCAGTACAGTATCCATAAGTGTCCGTCTCAATCCTCACCCTGGGGGTTGAAGAAGCCAGTCATCCAGAAGGTTTTGGGTCTCCCCTCGAAGATCCAGCTGCTGAACTGCGTGTTCCTCTCCAGCAGCTCTGTGAACCAGAACCCCAGTGTGGACGAGTCCCAGGAGATCTTTTTCCACAGGTTAGGCACACGGGCGTCGTACATGTTATCCAGCGTGTCGCGCAGGTTCTGTACAGGGACATCATCCAGAGTCAAAGCAGGACAAGGGCTTGCTTGAGCTCATGATGATGGGTCAGAGGGAGGAGTAGGAGGAGAAGCCTGTGACAATGATCTCGCTGAGGAGCTCATGATGATGGGTCAGAGGGAGGAGTGGGAGGTGAAGCCTGTGGATCTGACCTCACTTAGGAGCTCATGATAACGGGTCAGAGGGAGGAGTGGGAGGAGAAACCCGTAGCAATGATCTCGCTCAGGAGCTCATGATGATGGGTCAGAGGGAGGAGTGGGAGGAGAGGCCTGTGGCAGTGATCTCACTCAGGAGCTCATGATGATGGGTCAGAGGGAGGAGTGGGAGGTGAAGCTTGTGGATCTGACCTCACTTAGGAGCTCATGATGATGGGTCAGAGGGAGGAGTGGGAGGTGAAGTATGTGGCTCTGATCTCGCTCAGGAGCTCATGAATGGGTCAGAGGGAGGAGTGGGAGGAGAAGCCTGTAGCAGTGATCTCGCTCAGGAGCTCATGATGATCGGTCAGAGGGAGGAGTGGGAGGAGAAACCTGTGACAATGATCTCGCTCAGGAGCTCATGATGATGGGTCAGAGGGAGGAGTGGGAGGTGAAGCTTGTGGCTCTGACCTCGCTCAGGAGCTCATGATGATGGGTCAGAGGGAGGAGTGGGAGG